GAAGAAAATCGTAGGGGCCGCCCCATTGACCGAAAATTTTCATCTTGGGTAAACTTTACCCTGGATGGGGTAATGGGTAAATTTTACCCCACCATTTTGTTTGGGTTTTCATGGGCTTTCATATGATACCCATATTGGGGGGATGCGTGCGATACTTGCCAGAAATGCGTGGGTAAAACTTTCCAAGGGCGTTTTTACCCCATAGATTTCAATGCCCATAGGGGTTTCTTCAGCCAGATTGGTCATCTGGGCCTGTAGTATCACCATGCCGATTTTGAAGAAAATCGTAGGGGCCGCCCCATTGACCGAAAATTTTCATCTTGGGTAAACTTTACCCTGGATGGGGTAATGGGTAAATTTTACCCACCATTTTGTTTGGGTTTCATGGGCTTTCATATGATACCCATATTGGGGGATGCGTGCGATAGTCTTGCCAGAAATGCGTGGGTAAAACTTTCCAAGGGCGTTTTTACCCCATAGATTCAATGCCCATAGGGGTTTCTTCAGCCAGATTGGTCATCTGGGCCTGTAGTATCACCATGCCGATTTTGAAGAAAATCGTAGGGGCCCCCATTGACCGAAAATTTTCATCTTGGGTAAACTTTACCCTGATGGGGTAATGGGTAAATTTTACCCCACCATTTTGTTTGGGTTTTCATGGGCTTTCATATGATACCCATATTGGGGGATGCGTGCGATAGTCTTGCCAGAAATGCGTGGGTAAAACTTTCCAAGGGCGTTTTTACCCCATAGATTTCAATGCCCATAGGGTTTCTTCAGCCAGATTGGTCATCTGGGCCTGTAGTATCACCATGCCGATTTTGAAGAAAATCGTAGGGGCCGCCCCATTGACCGAAAATTTTCATCTTGGTAAACTTTACCCTGGATGGGGTAATGGGTAAATTTTACCCCACCATTTTGTTTGGGTTTTCATGGGCTTTCATATGATACCCATATTGGGGGGATGCGTGCGATACACTTGCCAGAAATGCGTGGGTAAATCTTTCCAAGGGCGTTTTTACCCCATAGATTTCAATGCCCATAGGGGTTTCTTCAGCCAGATTGATCATCTCGGCCTGTAGTATCACCATGCCGATTTTGAAGAAAATCGTAGGGGCCGCCCCATTGACCGAAAATTTTCATCCTGGTTAAATCATGCTTTTGGTTAAATTGATCCGGTATTTAACCATATCATTGGGTCCGGGGTGAAAGATCTTTCAAATGGTGGTCTTATTTTTCAGTTTCGTCCAGCCGTTTAGGCGTAAAACGGTTTTAGATTTTTCCCTAGATTTCTAGATTTTCCCTAGATTTGGCAGCCCCAATCTGGGCTGGGCCGAATGTGGGCTGAATGTGGGCTAACTTCCGTTACATGGCATAGGGTCATTTGAGATTAGGTTATTACGAAAGCTCACCATTATAAGTAAATGGGATATATCAAAGCCGCTATTTTGGTGTCGTTTAGAGATTGCAATCCCGGATCGGATCCCGGGATCCCGGCGGGATTTTAATCCCGATCCCGATCCCGAAATTCCGCCAATCCCGGATCCCGAAAAGAATCAGTTTTCACATTAAAAAGAATGCAGCCGCTGCACGAGTCTTGTTTACACTGTTTATTGTGCTGCGTGACATAAAGCAGATAAACTATTTAGCTGGCACCCCGTATTGGCCGTGCACAATCGACCGTGTTGGTAGCTCTCGGGTATCACCCACAGCGGTTAAGCCGCTTAAATACGTACGAAAAAAGGTCCCGAAAGCCAAAAAAATGCAGCATCAGCGCTGCAACATCTTTATCAGGATCACAGATCGTTCAGCGATTCTGACTTGCCCGTCCGTGGCCGGAACAGAGGAGGTCATCAAGACAGTCTTTGAGCTCGTGTCGCAGAAAGATGTCACAGATGTCACGCAAGTGACGGCAGAGCTCACTGATTCAGACGTTGAATACGGTAGAGTGGAGCTCTCCCAGTCAGTGATTCTGCTCTCAAAGCGACTTTCGAACAAATCCTGAGAGACATTAATGATGAAAGCGGAACCGGAAGGAGGTAAAGTGACCAAGCGACGTTTTGAAAACACTGTAAATAGGGAGCTGCCAAAGTTGGCGTACACTGGTTACGAGTTTTTAAGTAGACCAACATGGCAATGGCTTAAAACTGTCGCGCTAACTACGAGTAGCGTAGACGAAGAGTGAGTGAGGCGTGGATGTGCTGGAACCTGTCTGGTAAACGATCTGTCGACGCACAGTACACGCTAAGTTGACTTGTCCTAAACATAGCTAAGTGCTAACAAATTCCATTCGCCTAATCATGACAAATATGTTGGTGCTAAAATTGCGGCTTTGCACTGGCGGATCCAGGGGGGGGGGGGCATTTAGGGCCATGGCCCCCCCCCCAAAGGCCTAAAGTGGCCTGTTTGCCCCCCCCCCCCCAAAACGTCAGAAAAATTGCTAAGAAAATATACCTTGATGGAGGTTTTTAGCCACTTGGTGAAGTAAAGCTTTCCACCCACAGCATAATATGGAAGCAATATGTAGCAGTGAGGATCAGTCAAAGCTGCGCGAGCGCTGAGGTGCCGCTGACAGGCCCGTGTTGCCCTTGCTAGTTGCTAGGCCTGTGGTGCCCCTGGACCCTGGCAGGCCTGTGGTGCCTCTGGCGGGCCTAGGGTTCCCCTGCTAGGCTGCTAATGCCCCTGGGACCTGACAGGACTGTGGTGCCCCTGACAAGCCTAAAGTGCCCCCAACAGGCCCGTGATGCCCCCGACAGGCCCAAGGTGCCCCTGCGTGATGCCGTGATGCCTGCGAGGCCGGTGGTGCCCCCTGCGAGGCCGGTGGGCCCCTGACAGGCCCATGGTGCCCCTGCGACCGGTGGTACCCCTGCTAGACCGGTGTGCCCCTGGCAGGCCTGTGGTGCCCCTGCTAGCCGCTGGTGCCCCTGGGCCCTGACAGGACTGTGGTGCCCCTGACAGGCCCAAGGTGCCCCTGCAAGGCCGGTGGTGCCCCTGTAAGGCCTGTGTACCCTGCTAGGCCTCTGGTCCCCTGACAGCCCATGGTGCCCTGCGAGGCCGGTGGTGCCCCTGGCAGGTCTCTGGTGTCCCTGACAGACCTGGGGTGCCCCTGACAAGCTGTGGGCCCCTCACAGGCCCGTGGTGCCCTTGCTAGGCCTGTAGTGCCCCGGCTGGCTGGTGGTGCCCCTGCTAGGCCGGTGGTGCCCCTGACAGGCCTGTGGTGCCCCGGGCGGGCACCAAGGGGGCATGACCATGTGGCCCCCCTTGGATCTGCCACTGATACATAATATTGATTTGTAAAGGCGTATGGCTTATGCAATATGCAATTGCAGGCACTTGGTATCCCTCACTTTATCCCTCATTGGGGGCTCTGGCGGGCTCCTGAGGGCCCATGTCTATCTCCGGGAGCCCTAGACGGGCTTCTTTTGGTCCTTTCAGTCCACTATAGCATAAGAGGTCTCCACGCGAGTCCTATACATCTGAGGGCGTACCCTGACGTCTGAGGTACCCACTGCAGCTCCAATGGTCTCTTACACTGGCGGATCCAGGGAGGGGCATTTAGGGCCATGCCCCCTTCCCAGAGGCCTAAAGTGGCCCGTTTGCCCCTCCCCCAAACGATAATGAAACTAGTTCAATCAGTGCGTGGCCCAGGAGCCGAGTTAGACAGGGGTGTTTTACCACCTCCCGGTCCGCAAAGGGACCCAAGCACTGACTCGAAGCGGGTTAACTGGTCGACAAAAGCAATGGTAAGTGTTTACAAAGTAATATAAAGGCATGGGTTGGGTGGGCTACTATTTATATTTTTCTTTTTAGTTAAAAAAGATATTCATGTGTCAGGGCTGTGACGAAAAATAAGTGGCCTAAATCCGATGAGAAAACAGGATTTGGGGGTACCCTAGGTTTGGCTCCTGCATGAGTTGCCCCCCCCCCCAAAACGCAAGCCTGGATCCGCCAGTGCGGCTTTGCAACCTTTTTTGGCCATGTTATTCACCAAGCACCAGATCAATCATTGAGCGTTAGGTCTGGCCTCAGAGGTCATATGTTGACCTGATACATTGAAATTAGAACCTGATTGCTGCGTCGCGCCACTGCATCTCGTTTTTCCCACCAGGTTCTAGCTCATCTGGAGGCGAAAAGGCGACGGAACACACCGGCCTCTATCACCGTCGGCCGAGTTGTATACAGAAGCACCAATAGGACCGGAAGGCTGAGGTTGTCGATTTTTGAAAAATATCACTCAGAATCGGTTATTGAGCGTAAGCAGTGAATGACACTAACTAAAAGTTGACAAATGTCTGACAATCATCTGGAAAACCAACAGACTATTTCCCGGATACGCCCTGTTAGGGACCTAATCGCCGTGCCGCCGCGAGTTAGACGGTCGGCTGATCTCGTTGGCAAACGGACGACTGCACAGTTAACATGCTGAACATTGCACATTGCACCAGACAAATGGATTTGAGCAATTGGCTCTCATGTCGGCACTTTGTCATGAGGTGGCTGCGATACCACGAGCACCAGCCATGACGAGGGCTCACACTGTTCAGAGCGTCCGATGGACGGTTCCAATTTGTCCATTGACACCACGGTGATACGATGGTCGTTCGGACACCTGGTCGCTCGATGACCTTATCGATACCTAGCATCACGGAAACTTTTTTGCCCATCATCGATACCACGACGATTCCGATGGACCCATTGACATCGATATAGGATGGATTGTCATCTTGTCATCCTGCAATACACAATAGACGTGGCGCACAAGTCCCTTCGGAAGGCCATGAATTCAGAAAAGTATTTCCAAGGCCACCTAAACCCACAGCCACCGCTCCCACCCAGCTCCGACCACCCGTCCACAGGGTCGGCTAGGGGTGGGGGGGGGGGGCCGACACACCGCGGCCACCACCGTGACACCCGAGTGCCATATAATCGGGGGTCGGCCGTCTGGGGCACCACTGTTCGGCAGCACCGCCGGAGACTCCCTCCCACACGGCTCAGTCGAGATGACGCCAGGATTCTGGTAAGACATCCAGAAGAACCCCCCCCCCCCTATTGTCTCGGGTCGGCCAAATAATATCACTTGTTTTTTTAACATCAGTATGGCTGTGAATCAAGGCATTTTGCAAAACATCCAAGCATCCCTTTAATCAATAAGGATTAATTCCGTCAAGCATTCTATAAATACTTCTCGCCGATTTTTAACTTCAAATATTTTGCCTTGTACCCTTCAGTATATAAAAGAAAAATTTCAGAACGAAAAATGCCACTTTAATGTTTATGGTGCCAAATTTTCTGCAAAATCGTACGGTCTTGTGAGTTGTGAGAGACCGATGAAGGATAAATTGTGCTTGTTTGAACCCGAAAATTTTCCTTTTCAGCTTGTGCTGTGTGCCCTGGGGCCGCAGTTTCCGCCTCGGCCACGGCCACGGCCACGGCCACGGCTACGGCCACGGCTACGGCCACCGGTACGGACGTTCTCTGGGGCACGGTTACCGTTACGGACACCGACACGGACGGTCCGTGAACTACGGCTACGCCAGCCACGGCTACGGTCATGGTCACCACTACTACGGTCACCACCGCTACGGCCGCTCGGCTCCCTACAGCCACCCTGGCTACGGCTACGGCTACAGCCATGGCTACGGCTACCTTCACCACCGCCACGCCCGCTCGGCTTCCTACGGCTACTGAGCCACCACGGCTACGGCCACGGCTACGTCGCTGTGAGGAGGCCTGTGTACGGCCCTCACCCGAGCCGCTAACCTGCACCATTAGTGGGACCTCTCCGGAGTGACGGCTGCTGAACCAGTGCTGCTTTGGGCTCGGAACAACACGGCCATGTGGTGGGGAGATTGTCTCGGGAGAGAAAATTCTCCCTGCATGCTCATGGCCTTGTCATCAAATACATGTTTATGCTTATTTTAAAATGCACTTTGTTTTCTTTCAGATGACCAATATAAAAGTTTATTAGTTACGCACTGTGTAGGCAATAGGCATTGATCAAATAATGGTCAACCGGGAACATTAGGCACCTATGCTCGTATGTTACAGGTCGCAGGTAAAACTGAGCATAAAGACATTTGGTAGGTATTTGGGATACCTACCAAAATGCAGCAAACATTTCCAACGCCATTATTACGGAGCGACCGGAGCGAGCTTACGCCTTACGCCGTACGTCTTACGTCTACGTCTTAACCCTATTCCGGGCGGGCTCTGAAAGGTTCGATTCTGGACGGGGCCTTTTCGCCCCCCCCCTTCAGATCTCAAAAACCACACCGGAGCAACAAATGGCAAACGGTGTTTGATAGGTCGTTTAAAGATCTACAACTTTTACATAAATATTGTCGGGTCAGGTCAATATTGCGGCCACGGTCATCATCGATAAATGTTTGGAATTAGTTACTTATATAACTTTTGAACTAAGAAGCATACTCGTAGAGAAATAAAATTGATTTTTTTTGTGCTCTCGTCGAGGTGATGCGAAATAGCATACGATGACCTCACAGTTCACAGGTCAATTTGAAATTTGACCCGAGGTCAAGTCAGGTCATTCACCAATGAGGTTGTGGGTATGGTCATGCTGCATACCAAACGACGCGCCTTAACCAGGCGAGCAGTTTGTTACCACTTACAAGTCTTTAGCACATCATGTCGCGATTTATTGACAAAAAAACTATTCATGACGTCACATGACCTCAGATGACCTTGCCGGTGCTCCTGTCAATAAGCGGCACCAGGATCATCACTGATGATATAATATATTCCATAGACCATAGGGGAAAGTGGGGGTAAGACGGGCACCTTAACTTTGGAGCCATTTTTGGCCGGTTAGAAACATCATAGAAACGGGAAAACTGAGTGAAAACCTTTTTTAGACATTTTACTTCCATTTGCCAGAAGATGAGACTTAGACCTGATTCAACGAATAAACTGCAGCTATTTTTGCAAAACTTGCAAAAGCCCGTCTTCTTACCCACCCCATGGGGTCCACCCCATGGGGTAAGACGGTCACATTGGTAGGGCAAGACGGCCAGCTTCTTTCACCGACCAGCACAGCTCGCACCAAATGCGCGAGATTAGCGGCATTGATACAGTCGCTCGTTGGTCTCAAGTGGTTCAGAAAAGGCAGTAAACGAGATTCGTGCAGCAGGTGTATGCTCGTATATAGGCCCCAGTTCAGAAGCCTTGTAGAGCCGTTTTCACATCATTTATTCGAGAATTAGCTGTGCCGAAGGATATTGCTAAATGTCTGTGAGTATGGAAATCAAACATATTCTATTAACAGAAATGCTACTTTTTCCTACAGTAATAATTTTTTCACTATTACAGACCCATTGGATCCATAATTGCCCGTCTTACCTCAAACCCAAGTAGAAGTTCAGCAGGATTTTCCTCTGTGGACAATTGATGCAGACAAGCAAATCTGCGGTAAATGAACACTGGTGGGCATATGAGTGTACCACAAGTGATTGCGAGTTTTTAACCAAAATAAAAGATTATTGACTGAACACAAATTCATCAGACTTCAATGGTGGTGTGTAGTGGGAAAGGCAATTCTGGTCCTAATTTTTCTCGCTCATAGCGCTATTGGTTTGGTCTGCAGAAGGGGTGCCCGTCTTACCTACCCTGACCGTCTTACCCCACTTTCCCCTGCCTAATACCTACTGAGAGAATTGGGCATGGTTTGGACTCGGTTACACGAAGCATGGGAGGCATTTCAATATTTTCCCATAGGCTTGCAGTGTAAAGGTCACAAGTCTGGCCTGACCTAGGTCACAGATATAAAAATTCTGAGATATGCAACTTGTGGGTACATACCTACTGGTACTCTAACTAAAACCTGAAGAAAGAATTGATCAGTCAAAAACTCTAGCTCTGGCGTGATTGCAAACTTTCTGAGGTGGGGTCAACGAACCGCCTCTGGTTACCTGACCTGACCTGACCTGACCCAGCAACTTTTTTGTCACAAAATTTGCGCAATGAACGTTTAGGAAAAGTCATCGAGATTAGCTTTCAGTCTTGCGGCATTTGGCGATGGCACAAGAAAAATCTGAGGGGGGGGGGGTTAAGGCACCCCCGTCCAGAATAGGGCTAAGTTGGCCTTTCGAGGTTTAACAGGTCACCTGAGTTACTCGAGGGCAGCGCTTTTCGAGGAGCGCTGTGGCCCGAAGGTTTGGACTTTGAATTGTGAAAAACGCCCGCCCGCCGGAAAACGCAAACACCGCAAAACGCGCAAAACGCACGCCCGAAACGCCAACGCAACGTCGCAAAAAATAAACAAACGCCCGCCCGCCGCAAACCGCAAATAAAAAACGCAAAAAACGCCCGCAAAACAATAAAACCGCCCGCCAACCGCAAACAAATTTAACACCGCAAACGACGCAAAAAAAAAGAAGAAAACCGCCTCGCATTGCCCAAACCGCCCGCCCGCCCGCCGCCAAAGACAAACACCGCAAAAAAAACAAAACGCCCCCGCCGCAAAAACGAACCCGCCCGCCGCAAAACGTAAACACCGCAAAACGTGTAAAACGCACGCCCGAAAAGCCAACGCAAACGGCAAAAAATCACCCGACCGCCGCAAACCACACAGAAAAAAAACGCCGAAACGCCGAAAAAATAAAACCGCCCGCACCGCACCGACGCTAACTGCTAACCGAAAACGACTAAAAGTCGCCCGCCAGCCGCCAAACGCAAACACCGCAAATAAGCGCCCGGCCGCAGCAAGATAATAATTTATCAGCGGCTGGCATACCGCTAGGCTGGTCATTTTCACAAATCAAAAAGATATCTGCAAAAATCTCCTAGATGAAAGCGCCCGATTAAAAAACGGATGGCACGTGCGTGTTCCTCGCCCCCAACTTCCTTCAGGTCAATCGTCATTTGGGTCATCTAACGCATTGACGTATCTGCAAAAATCTCCTAGATGAAAGCGCCCGAGTAAAAACGGATGGCACGTGCGTGTTCCTCGCCCCCAACTTCCTTCAGGTCAATCGTCATTTGGGTCATCTAACGCATTGACGACCGGCTGGGTGAATGAACATTGCGCCAAGAAACGTAAGTATATTGTCCACTGGCGGTCCCAGGGGGGGGGGGGGGGCCACGGGGGCCATGGCCCCCCTTTGGTGCTGAAAGGTGGGGCCATACTATCTTTTGGCCCCACCTTTCAGATCGAACAAAGTCCTAGAAAAGCTTTTTGTGTTTCATTTTCTTTCTTGCGCCATCAAAGGACGTAAATTTCACTCATGAGTGGGCTCAGTTTCGTATTCTGTCAATTGGCGGTCAGCGTCGCTGGCACGGTTCACGAGTATGGCCGCATCTTACATGGAATCAGCGTGGGTTTGCTTGAGGCTCTCGTAGGCCCAGCAATGGCTGGCATGAGACCTCTTCGGCAGTGGCGGGTGGGCCCTGCCAAATGAGCGTGGCTCTACGACACTAAGTCACTAAAGTAAGACCATGGGTTGGTTTGGTGCTGTGCACCTCAGAAGCCCGGTGGTGACGCCGTATGCCGGCTTGGTTTCTAAGGATTAGCGTGGGATCTCCGGGCCTGCATAGAGTTTGCATTAGCTAGTATAATTTCAGAGGCCTGTATGTAATGTGTAGACAGTGGCGGTCGCGGGGGCATCAGGGCCATGCCCTCCCAAGGCACATAAAGGGAGCCATCATATCATTTGCCCCCCCCCCCCTCAAGCAACCGATGGGCCCCATAGGTGTATGGGACCCTGGCCCTGATTCGATCGTCACGAGGCTAAAAAAACACGCCCACACCGGTCTTTGAGCGTCCAACACTGACCTCTGAGGGAACTTCAGTGGCGGTCAAGCGCCCACGTTGACCGCTAAGAGCCCACATCGACCTCTGAGGCCCCACATCTGACCTATGAGGACCCCTTACCGGCCTCAGGGGCCCAACCGGCGTCTGAGGGTCTCACACCGGTCTCTAGTGGCCTTATTGCTGTCTCTGGTGTCCCAAGACGAACATTAGGTGCCAATGAGGCCCCGCATTGGCTGCTGAAGACCCGATGCTGGCCTCTAAGGCCTGCATTGGCCCTGATGAGGTCTCATCTTGGCCTTTGAGGGCCCTCTGCTGGCCTCTGGGTTCCAACGACGGCTCATTCCGGTCTTTTAGGGCCCCACGCGACCTCCGACCTCTGAGGGCCCATGTTGGCCTGTAATGAGTAGGACCCACATAAGCCTCCGAGAGTCCAACTCGGTCTCTGATGGTCTCAAACTACTGGCCTTTGCAGTTTGTAGGCCCTGTACTGGTCTGAGGGCCCTAAACTGGCCTCTAAGTGAAACATACATGGGTGGGCTTCTGAAGATCACAGGGCTCACGCAGACTCCTGCACAGCCGTACGTTGGTCCTGATCGAGATTACTTTACGTCCTGATGGTCCCGCGCAGATTCCCTCATATTTCGACGTCGGGACCCCATGAGCCGGTGTGGGTCCTGGGGCTGGCAGAGACTGATGAAGTCCTTAGGGCTCAGGGCCAGTCTTTTTAGCATAGGACTATAAGGCAGGCTGAGTGAGCCCCAATAGAGCTGTTGCGAGGCCCCGCGCGAGTCGTGCGCGGCCCTCAGATGCCAATTTTGAAAACCAGGAACCTGTGGGGCCAGGGATCTCCAGAGGTCGGTGTACCTATTCTCTCCCCCGCCAAACAACTATATGGGTAATGTCATAGTCTGAACATGATCTC